TTGGGGTTAGGGGGTTACGGTTTAGGGTTTAGGGTTTAGGGTTTGCTAAACCCTAAACCCTGCCCCCAAAAAAAGCACAAACAACTCCAAAGAACCCTAAACCCTACCCCTGAGCCCTAAAACCACAAAAACCCCTAGACCTAAACCCTTTAAACCTAAACCCTGAAACTCAACCCTAAACCCCAAAACCGCTGAGTGCACCCGGGACGCAGATGACATGGAGCTCCACCTTGGGCCGGAAAGTTTCCCCATGTGCGCGGAGTCTATCCGGCTTAGAGTTTTAGGGTTTCAGGGTGCAGGGTTTAGGGTATAGGGCTTCAGGGTTTTAGGGTTTAGGGTTTAGGGGTTTAGGGGGGTTTTAGGGTTTAGGGGAAAGGGTTCAGGGGTTTAGGGTTTCAGGGTTTAGGTTTTAGGGTTCAGGATTTTGGGGTTTAGGGGTTTGGGGTTTAGGGTTATGGATCCGTCTTTCCGAGGGTGCCTTATGGTTTGAGGGGTTTAGGGTTTGGGATTTAGGGTTATGGACCCTACCTTTGCGTAAGTTATAACTGTACCATATAGAATACAGACTTTAATAACCCCGCGACGCAAAAGTGGGTTTTCAATTTGGTAGTTGGAGGTGAGCTCTAGCAGTGGGATCAAGTGCTGTTGGTGTACATGAACAGCATATTGGTCCCCGGTAAGATCCCGGCGGCATAAACGCTTCTTCGCAACGGCAACTGGTAGTGTCACACATGGCCCCATGCAGACACTCATTTCTAGCCCAAGAGTCTGGCATTCCAGCAGGCTTAGCCACGTTTTTGCATGAACTAGTCATGAACTCCAAAGTGCTTGGGAGTTGTGCGGAAGATGGTCTGCAAAGCACATCTCGAAAATGTTCGTGCACAGCTTACAGGCATGAGTGCTACTCCGCTCCGGCAGCTACCGCTGCACACGACTATTGATACCATCACAATCTGAACCCTTCCCACAAGCCCCTCGACCAAGCCAAGGCTGCGAAGCCACAACCTTTAGATGCCTAACCACGCACTATGCTTTCAAGCCTAGCCGGTAAGCTCAAACCCTATCAACCTAAGCCCAACCAAACCCTACCAATCACGACATGATGTTATTCGCGTCTAGAATGACTCTATCATCCTAAACGCTAGACCCGAAAATTACTCTAAATCCTAAACCCTAAACCCTAAAATTACTCTAGTGGACCAAAGCTTTCGTCCAGGCCGCATTCTCGGTGCCCAAGGCCGCCTGGAGTGCCTCGGACCATCGGCTCTGGCGCCCCAATGCGACCACTGCAGAGGTGACCTTTGTGTCTAGGCGCCTCTGTCTCTGTCTCTTTGTATGTTTTGTATATATGTGTATGTACATACATATATATATATATATCTCTCTCTCTCTCTCTGTCTCTCTCTGCCTCTGCCTCTCTCTCTCTCTCTCTATAAATAGAGCGAAAGAGAGGGAGAGCGAGTGGGTGAGTGAGGGACGTGAGTGAGTGAGTGCGTGTTATTTTGTTCATTTCGATTTTTGGTACGGGACTGATTGGGCGGGAGCTTCAAGAGATGTGTTCTTCTGTTGCGCTGGGTTGCCGGCAAAGCTTCTGTCGAACGTTTGCTTGGGCCAGTGGTTCAGGTCTTTGGGGGGTAATAATGATTATACTGCTAATTACATGAATCAATAACAATAGTACCAGCAAGTAGTAATAGTAATAGGCTTGGAAATGAAGTTTCTGTCCCTGGCTTTCCAGGCTTCTTCAGCCAGGTCTGACGCTTCACGCAGTTTGGGTTGCGTTCACCGATGAAGAGACGTCGCCGGTCCTTGTGAGGCACCTGCACCCTACACCCCAAACCTATACCTCTACATACTCTCCATTTTAGTTCTTTCTTGTGGTTACCTTTCAGGGTCATAAACATGCCTAATTTCAATAAGCGAGGAACTGCAATGGAAACTACTTGGAGGACCATGGGACTTAGTAAGTAAGGTTATAAGTCCCCTAATTGGGGTTATATGTATAGCTACCGTAGTTATAACCCTACTTACTAGGTCCCATGATCCTTTGAGTATAGGTACATGGCAACTCCAGATTGTTTTCCTAATGAGGCACGAGGATGCTTCTGGATTCGGGGGTAGGACTGACGGGGTTTTTAGGATTTAGAGTTTTAGGGTTTAGGGCTTTAGGGTTTTAGGGTTTAGGGTTTAGGGTTTAGGGTTTAGGGTTTAGGGTTTAGGGTTTAGGGGTCTAGGATTTAGGGGTCTAGGATTTAGGGTTCAGGGTTTGAAGGCTTTTTCTTAAGTGTACTGGGTTTAGGGATGTGGAAGTGTGGAAGGCTCGAGAAGGTAGCAGACTGTACTCATGGGCCTAGTTGACCAGGGACCTTGTTTTGCTAACCTGAGAGAATATTATAGGAGAACTAGAATTATAAGAAATGTAATTTTTTCTAGGTTATATTTACAATGGAAATATAGTTATCCTAGAGTCATTATATCTTAGGTGTAGAATATATTTATACTAACCCCCAAAATGCTCTGCGGTCGGTTCTTCGGGCATCCACACGGAGCCCTGGACCCCGAAATCCGTGGAATTCGAATCCCTGAAGCCCTCCAACCCAAAATCCTTCAAAGATTTCTTCACCGAATGCAGGAACTCTGAGACTCTGTATCTCAAAAACCTCGATCCCGCTGAACCCTCGCCCAAACCGTCATTCCTGCCAGGACGCCTCGCAGGACATGCCATGGCTGCATGCTACCGATACTTCCAGTCTAGCCTCCTTTCCGATCGATAAGTTGTTCTACGGGCTGCTGCATAGGGTTCCACAGCGGTCATGCTCTCCCGTGTCGTTGCCCGTTTTGGGGGTAGTAGGGCTTAAGGGCTTGGGGCTGAGGGCTTCGAGTTTGTAGTTGCGGATGCTTGGAGGCCCAGGGGACTTAGTAAGTCGGTTATAAGTAGGCTTATAATTAGGGTAACTCCATTTAGGGTACTTATAACTCTACTTGTAACCTACTTACTAAGCCCCCCTGGGCCTCCAAGTAACCAAGATCCGGATGTAGGATCCTCGTGCTGCGGTAAAGAAACAAAGGCGTCCAACAACAAGGAACAGCACTTCTCGTCCGTGGGGTTATCGGGCAGTTGGAGGGCTTTGAGATCTCTAGATATGCCGCCTTGTGGGTCGGGGACTCGAGATTTCTGGACTGCAGCTGGAGTTCAGTTTGTTTGAGCGCGCTTGTGGGGTTGTGAGCTCACGATTTGGGCATGGGAGGGCAATGCACTCAAGATCCCGGCATCCTTGAAGCTCGGTCTCATTGGTCATGGTCACGCACTCGGGTTGGGTTTGTCAAATCATGGTCCATCGGGCGACTTGAACCCTATATAATTCCACTCTCGATACAGCACCCTATAGTTTGGGAACCTAATTTTGACAGGTGCCCGGGTTGGCACGCTGGGAAAACCTTTAACTCAAAACCATCCGAAGATTCTGCACCCCAACCCGTCCTAATCCCGTTTGATGCTCTGCCCAAAACCCTCTAAACCACAGCCCAGCCCGCACGCCTGAGGCCTCGACAAGCAGGAAGAGTTTTAAAAGACCTTGAACCAAAAGCCTGAACAGACCCTAAACCCTAAACCCTCTATACATAAACCCTGCCAAACCCTGAAGCCCCGGTTTGAGCCTAGGACGTCCGAAATTCGGCAACCCTGAGGATGAACTCGTGTTTCGACTCGACAAAACCAAGGTATGTAGGGTTTACGCTTTATGGCTTCCAGGGCTTCGGGTCTAGTGCGCTAGGAAGCATGAAAAGATGCCTTTCCTAAACCCCAAGCCCCTCGACCCCGAAATTCCACAAGCCCCCACCCAAACCCCCTAAACCCCCTAAACCCCCTAAACCCCCTAAACCCCCTAAACCCCCTAAACCCCCTAAACCCCCTAAACCCCTCGACCCCCCCCCACCCTCCCTCGCCCGCTAAAAAATAAGACCCTGAATTCCCGCAGGCCCCCAAACCGCCGAAACAGGGCTTTGGGATTTGCGTCTTGTTTTGGCTCAGGGTTTGGAGGTTTAGGGTTTGGAACCCACCAAGCCCAAGCACCTCCACCGGTCGATCTACCTGGGCAGCAGGTCGAGCGCATGGGTGGCAGTTCCGACTCTCTCTTGGTAGTGGGTTGTATGGAGTTTAACAAACCCCCTACCTTAATATTAAGGCTCTTGAAGAAAGGTGGCCTACTTATCAGGGGTCCACATTATGAGACAAAACTCAAACCTGGCCCAATATTTCGCTATTCTCCTGCACTCAGGGATGCGGGTTTAAGTATTTAGCGAGACAGATATACTATACACTGTTGTAGTATAGGGGCCTTGCTTGAAGTAGTCTTGGAGTATATGATTAATTGTAGTAGATACCAACTATAGGTGAACTACAAGGGGGTGCTTTTTCTAATAATTCCGACACTAGTATACAACATCCCAACACCTGGCTTTGTGTCCTCCACTGCAGCCTAGATATCTGCGGCAGTCGGGCTTTTCAGTTCTCGTTTGGTTTGAGATGGCTGTGACTGTGAATGGTTTACCCATAGGCCCCATAGTAATTCTTTTTGGGATTACCTTGTAGGATTCTAAATATGAGCCACAAAAAGGAACCACTACGGGGCCCATGGGTAGTTTTAAGGTCACGGGTTTATGGTTTAGGACTAGAAAGCGCTGAATCCTAAACCGAACCCTAATTACCAAACCCTGACGTTTGACCCTCAACCCTAAACCCTAAACCCTAAACCCTAAACCCTAAACCCTAAACCCTAAACCCTAAACCCTAAGAATCAAACCTTGATGCCAGCGTCAGTCCCAGGCCCTCATAGATCCCCTGCAGAACCCTTATGGCTCCCTTTTTACGGGAACTTTAGGAACTTTTAGATCCGTTTAGGGTATCCTTTAAGGGCTCTAAGGGCTCCTTAAGGGAACCCTAAACCTCAACCGGTTTAGGGTTTAGGGTTTAGGGTTTAGGGCCCTTGCGAAGAAGGGGCAGTAACGGTCTTTGGCACGTGGACATGCTTTTGCACGGGCACGGGCACGACCTGAGGATCCCGGAAACGGATGACGGTTTGGGGTTTTGGGTTTACCTATAGTCTCCATTGTAGTTCCTTTTTTTGGTTTAACCAATTATTTATTCAGGATTTTATAAGGTATCCCCAAAAAGGATCTACAATGGAGACTGCAGGTAGGTGGGATCCACTCGAATTTCCAGAGTGATTGTGCTTATAAGCTAAGGGGCCAACCTTTCAGATACACATGTAGAAAGACGTATAGTATACGTAGTGGATATATGGATGAACATTATGGGAGTTAATGGTTTATTCAGGTTTAGGGTGTAGAAGTTTGGGATTTAAGGCTTAGGCTTTAAGGTGTATGGGGACGCCTGGCTTGGGATGCACACCCAAATCTCAGAACCGTCAGCACCACCAACCCGACGGCGGAGTCCTCAGCTGGAACCCTCAGCCCTGATCTTCAATCACAGGACCTAAACCCCAAACCCAAAGCCCTACCCGGATCCCTAAAGCATGTAGAAGAATTAACGGCCTTCTACTTAGGGCTTTAGGGGTTTGGGGTTTTGGCATACCCTCGGCAGCCTTAACCGCACACGGCCAAGCCTTCACACAAGAAAAAGCCCTCTCCCTTGCAAATTAAGCCGCATGGCAAACACTAAACCCAATAGCAGCTACCTGTCTACGGGCACAGAAAGTTGAAATCACAATAGGGAAGCCCAAAATGCCCTGAACCCTCAAACCCGAAACCCTAAACACTGAAACTGTAAAGTCTGAAACCCCCAAAAAGCTCTAACCTGCCACAGAAGGGGCCTTAATGATTATTAGCATAGGGTTTTGGGCTATATTTATAGTATATTTGCAATAAGGAACCCTAGCAGTAATATTGGTCATTCTTCAGGCTTCTATACTAAATACTAAACCCTGCATCTGAAGCCAAAACGAAACCTCAGGGGCTGAGTATCCTAGCCCAAAACAGGTTAACCTTTTCAATTATAGTAGGATTATATGCGCCCCTGAACCCTGAACCCTAAACCCTAAACCCAAAGCTGCGAATGTCGCCACGATCCAGAGATAAAGCCTCGCATGGAAGGCCACGCAACCCCTCCGATGTGCTGCTCTTGAAGACTGCACGTGGAAGGCTGACATCTTTCCTGCGGCTCGCGCGAACCAGGTTCGCCAGTTCCTGAAGGATATCCTCCTGAGACGTCTTGGTTTGACTCACGCCGGAGAACATTTTGTAGATGTAAAGGCAAATGTCGTCACGGATCCATCCGCTCCGACGAGCTTTGGCCCATATGAGCGTCACGAGCGGCAGCTTCTGCTTTGTTCTGGGAAACGCTGCCAGCCCCTCGATCCGACGAAGCCTCGTCGCTCCAATTCTGCACACCAAGAACTCTTCTAAAGGGTTTGGGGCTCAGGTCTCAGTGTTCAGCGTGTAGGAATATAGGGGCTTAGTGTTTTAGGGCTTAGGGGATCATAGGGTTTAGGGATTAGTGTTTAGGGTTTAGGGATCATAGGGCTTAGGGTTTAGGGTTCAGGTCTTAGTGTTTAGGGTTTAGGGCTGAGGTCTTAGTGTTGTAGGCTTTGTGTTTAGGGTTTAGGGATCATAGGGCTGAGGGCCCAGGGTTTAGGGCTTAGTGTTTTAGGGTTTAGGGATCATAGGGTTTAGGGCTTATTGTTTGGGGTTTAGGGATCATAGGGTTTAGGGCTAGAATTTAGGGCTTAGGTTTAGGGATCATAGGGTTTAGGGCTTAGGGCTTCAGGCTTATAGGGTTTAGGGATTGTAGGGTTTGGGGTGTTAGGGCTCTCAGATTGTAGGGTTTAGGGGTTATAGGGCTTTGGGATTATAGGGTTTAGGGTTTGAGGGTTTTGTTCAAATGGATACATGGGATCTACTATACGGGTCTCTACAGGTTTATAGGGTTTAATATAGAGGCCCGAACAGTTAGCTCGAGAGGTTTCTGTAAGGCCTACTACAAGGGTTCTATGATCCAGCGGCCGAAATAGTTGATGGGGTTTTGGAGCAATATTAGCTATACCTAAATTACCGAAACCTGAGTGGGTATATCTTACTTTAGCCAAGTTAGGGGCTATCCGGACCTGTTATTCCGACAACTAGATATCGTTATCAGGTATTCCGACCCCCTTAGCCTTATCCAAGCCTTAAACCCTAAACCCTGTCCCGACCCCGAAATTCACCTCCCCTAACCCAACCCCAAACCCTAATCGCTAAGGGGAGCCTTGTCGATCCACTCGATCTGAGGTACCTCAACTGTCCTCCGAAGGCATGATCTTTACTGCTTAGGATTTGGTTTTTGTGGTTTAGGGTTTAGAGTTCAGTTTAGAGTTTGGGGTTCAGGGCTTGAGGTTCAGGATGTCGAGTTTAAATGCCAGGGCTTAGTGTTTCGGATGTAGGCTGTGTGTAGGGCTTGTACGGCTCAGAAAAACCCAAACCCAAAAACCCCTAAACCCTAAACCTTAGACCCCTAAACCCTAAACCCTAAACACTCCAAGCCTAGGGACTTAGCTAAGTTTAGGATTTAGGGCTTTCCTGCTAGGTGAGTTTCAGAGTCTAGCCCAAACTTGGGAGTATCTTCTAGGGATGTCCGGATGTAGGAAGTTTGGGTTTAGGGTTTAGGGTTTAGGGTTTAGGGCTTTTGGGCTTTAGTGTGTGTAGGGCTTGTGGTTTAAACTCGCGCATGGGCTCAACATGCTGCCCTTGCTGAAAGGTGTTGGGACCAAGGTGCATCTTCTGCACTTCTGGTGTCACATTCATCTGAACCGAAGTACTTAAAGGATCTTGGGACTTAGCAAGTAGGGTTATAAGTAGGGTAACTCTACTTATAACCCCAATTAAGGGACATATAACCTTACTTACTAAGTCCCATGAACCTCCAAGTATCTCTTGCATTGCAAGGATAAGTGACGGTAGTTTGGGCTCTAGCGTCGCCGCGGCTTCGCCTGTGGTGTTCTTGCCTTCTCTGTGTTTGGGTTTAGGGTTTAGGGTTTAGGGTTTAGGGTTTAGGGTTTAGGGTTTAGGGTTTAGGGTTTAGGGAGTTTTGGTTTGCGGTTCTGGCCATCGGGGTCTTTGGGTCCTTAGGTCTTCTTCGTACAAGACGGCGGCACTACAACCTAAACCCGCAACCCTCCACCTGAGCAGCCTAATCCTAAACCCTTAATGTAGGAGCCTTAGTAATTCAAATGGGGTGTTGGGGCCCATTCTACTGTAATTAGAATAAGGAACCCCCACAATAATATAGGTAATTATTAAGGCCCCTATATCAGCCCTTAGCCCCAAACCTTATAAACCCTAACCTTTGCTGGCTCCACAGCTCCTCTGGCTACGATTCTCCACTGTCACATGCCGATGGCGCTGCACCTCGGCTAGCCCCGAGGCAAGGTGTCCAGCTAAGCCCAGCACGACGCAGCTTTATCACGATGACAGTTCAGATTATCGGTTACGCAACAAACCAAAAACCTGGCGCTAAACCCTAAATCTCTTCAACCCTTCAATACCAAAACCAAACCCTAAACCCTCAACCCTAAAAAACATATAAGCCTCTCGAGCTTAAGGTAGGGTTGCGGGTTCTATGGGCTATTCTATAGTGCCCTTGTAGGCCTACAGAACCCCAAACTTCCTAAACCAAAAGTACCCTTCCAGAACACTTCAAGATCTTTAAAGGAAACCTTTATAGCAACCCGCGGCCCTCCAACCTACACGCTGAGGGATTCGCAGGAATGTGCACGTGGTGATCCACGAACTCTACCTCACACGCCCGGAGCGGCTTCATCCAAGGCTGTCGGGTTCCTTTTTCGGGTTCCTCTAAGGGTTTATATTAAAGCCTCCTTTAACGGTGCCTGGAAGGTGCTTGAAGCTTTAGAACTGTTCTTCGAGGTCCTTCTGCAAACATACACAAGCGATACTAGCATTGAAAGTTGTGTTCAAGAGCGGCCTAGTCCCTAAACCCGAAACCCCAAACCCTACCTTAACCCCCCAGGTACTATATAGGGTACTAGAGCCTCTAGGGCCCTATATAGTGGGTACCTGGAGGGTTAGGGCTAGTCTAAGGTTTCCGGGTTAAGGCTGCCTTTTGGGGCTTTCGCTGTCGAGCTTGACAGAGTCTGGCATGAAGAAGCCCCTGAGGGTCCATGTGCAAGGATACTCTATGGGTTCTTTATAACAGTCTATAGTCTATAGATGAGGGTACTTCATAAGAGCTCTATATAGGGGTTCTATGTAAGGGTACCGTGTAAGGCTATAAGGGTTTAGGGTGTAGGTTTTCGAGTCCATGTACCCAAATCATGTATACTTTGGACCCAAAGTACCTATGCAGGGACTGCTTTAAGGCCAAAGTATATACTGCTTGGGCACATGGACGCTTAGGGGAAGATCATTCCCATCTTTGTCATGGCCGATCTAGCAGATTGGTGCTTACCGCTGATTCTATTCCGTGTTGGCTTTGTTGTTATCTTAGTCTTCGTCTCCGTCTACTCCCTGCCCCGCCTCTGTCTTCTGAGTTTGAGAAAACGTTGGACTGAAGTCGGGCATTGGAAGCTCCGTGGTTCATACGAGGGTTCGGTTGATTTTAGGGCCTTGGTTTTCCAGCTTCGGGTTTGGGCTTTTGGCCAACAGGGGTGAGAGCTTCCGGAAACGTTGCAAAGCGCAACGAAATTTTCCAAAAGCTCTACCGCTTATCTAGTGCGATCTCCTTACCCTTGGAAGATGCTCTGTCAATGTGGGGCGGCATGGGATCTGAGGCTCCCCAAACCCTGAGGGCCCAAAACCTCAAACCTCAACACCTGAAGCCGACACTGTTTTGACCGCTATGATGAAGATGGTGATGGGGAGGGTGGTGATGAAGATGATGCTGGTGATGATGATGATGGTGATGATGATGGTGATGCTGATGGTGGCGGCGGTGGCGGCGGCGGTGGTGGTGGTGGTGATGACGATGCTGCTGGTGATGACCGCAATGATGAGGATTGTGATGATGACGGTGGAGGTGATGGCGATGATGGCCACGATGATTACGAGGATGATGATGATGAGGATGATGATGATGGTGATGGTGATGACAATGATTATGGTGATGGTGGTAATGTTGAAGGTAGCAATAACAATTTTCGGGTTATTGTGCAGTATATGATGATCATGCTTAAGGTCCAGGATGTAGGGTTTGGGGTTTGCATTAGGATTTAAGCGTTAGGGTTTAGGGTTGCTTTCAGGTTTCGGGAGATACACGAACCTAGGCCCTAAACTCCCAACCACAATTACTACATCTAGGTCCAGAAACTCAGGAGTGCATCTTTAGAGCTCTGGCGAACTTCCGCCAACACCATGCAAGACAGAGTGCTCCTTCATCCAACTGAAACCTGTAACTAACCGTCCCGACACGCCTCAAACAACAACTGGAGCTTGAAAGAGAGCCTTTAGGGGCCTTAATAATTAGACTACGGTTTTGGGCCTCTTTATAGTATTATTATAAAAATGAGCCCTAACAGAAATATAAGTAATTATTAAGGCTTCTATATTACCAGCACTCAGACCTTATCGTTGTCCCCAACAAAACCCTATAACCCTAAACCAATAATTGAACATTCTAAACTCTTCACCGCGCCCTCAGACACTACTGAACCTGAAACCCCAAACCCGAAACCAAGAAAACCCTGAAACCCCAAACCCGAAAGCCGCTGGCCTGCGGCACCTCGACCATCTTCGGCACTTTCTGAATGATAGGCACATGCACCTGCTTGTCAGGGTTTAGGGTTCAGGGTTGTATTTACTTAGCGGATCGGGATACAATAAATCTCAAATCCCAAAGCGCGCAGCGACTTAAAGGGCTATCATTACATGGAGTGCTGTTCATGCAAGGACCCTAATTCATTGCCGGCCCCGAAAATCCTGAGAAGCTCCTCCTGACGGAAGCCATGAAACCCAAACTCTGACCTTTAGGGGGGTTTAGGGTTTAGGAGTTTAGGGGTTTAGGGTTTAGGGCCTAGGGTTTAGGGTTTGAGTAGAAGCCAGAGAGTTGGAACATGGATACCCTCATCTCATGCCCTTAAGGTAAAGTTTGGGGCATCCTAGCACTAATACTCCTTCTCCTGTGTTCCAACTTTCTGGGGTTTCGCTGTCGTAGTTGCTGGCACTTCCAAGCCAATGAAGGGCTTTGATCGTACTATAGGGGCCTTAATAATTAGAATGGGGTTTGGGGGTATCTTCTACTATAACTATAATCAGGAACCCCCAAAACCCCAGTCTAATTATTCAAGCCCCTATATTACTACAAACCCAAAACTTAGGTGTTGGAAAACGAACTTGCGTTTGGAGTCCTTGGGGCGTAAATACGGCTCAAGGTTCAGGGGTTTAGGGTTTAGGGTTCAACATGACCACCACCAATGCAGAGCCAACGAAGGACGCAACAACTAGCAATACTACCCCCTCTGGCGGCTAAGAGTACCCCACACTCCACACACCCCAAGCCCCTGTGTTTTCATTGTACTACAATTCCATCACCAAGTTGGAGGGTTCCGGACCAGCAAAGTCAAAGAGGACTCTCTCGTGGCTTAGGGTTTAGATCTCGGAGAACAGTAAAATCAGTAAAATCCCCACTGGAGAAGCCTGAGCCCTTCTCTGCAGGAACATCTCTATCTATCGGTCTATCTATCTATCTATCTGCCTATCTGTCTATGTAAATATCTACTTATCTACCTTTTCTACCGATCTACATATCCTATCCACCTATCTACCTAGCTACCTACTTAGCTATCTGTCTATCTATGCATGCATGCACACATGCAGCTGTGTTCATAATCATCTGTTCGTTCATGTAGCTACTTATGGCAAACACAGACAGACACTCACACACACACACACAGAGACAAAAGCCTAAGTCATCAAATAACTAATATAACATACTCACTCTATCGCGCAACGTCGACGACAACAGTGTAATCGAACCTCAACTTCATGTTAGTCATCGAAATTACTAGAGCAGATGCTGGTGTGAACTATCTAAAACCACCACCACCACGGCCACCACCACCCCTACCCTTAACCCTAAACTCTAAACCCGACCACCACCACCCCCACCACTTTACTTTGCAAACTCCGACGGAAAGCGGCTGCAGCTGCTCTAGCACCTGCTTTTGCACTGGCACCGGCACCACCTCATCCTGCAACCGCGTGTGGAGATCAGGATGGGGAGCCCGAAACTCACTAAACCCAAAACTCCCGAAACCCTAAACTCCCTAAACTCCCTAAACCACTAAACCCTAAAACCCTGAATCCCTAAAGCCCTAAGAGCCGAAAACCCTAGGACTGAACCTTACACCCCAAACTCTCAGACCTTCGTAACTAAACTCGACCCTGCACCCTAAACCCTAAACCCTAAACCCTAGACCCTAAACCCTAAACCCTAAACCCCCAAAACCCTAGACCCTAAACCCTCAACCATTCCGAAAGCCCTCGACCTTGGAGCCAAAGCTGGAGCCGGGAACCCCAACCCCCCCAGAAGCCCAAAAATCCAGAAGCCTGAGATTGTTTTGGGGGGTTTAGGGTTTAGGGTTTGGGGTTTAGGTTTTAGGGTTTGGGCTTTAGGGTTTGGGGTTTAGGTTTTGGGGTTTCGGGTTTAGTTTTGGGGTTAAGGGTTTAGGGTTTGGGGTTTAGAGTTTAGGGAGTTTAGGGAGTTTAGAGTTTAGGGTTTTGGGCATCCTCAGGGAGAGCGTTTTCCTCGCCAGGCTCTGGGCTTGGCTTCAGTGGCTTTACCTACCCGTCCAGAGTATCCTAGTGGAATTGAAAAAATAAGAATATGGGTGGTTGTCAAAATTATGGTCCCTTTGTGGGGTACCCTAAACAATAGGTGCCGTATTATAATAAGGAACCAAAAAGGGACCATAATTGTGACAACCAACCATATGAACCTTAATTAAAGGTTACATAGGGTTTCTAATACCCGAAAAACGGTTAAAGGTTACCTATACTACGAAGTTTAGGTCTTACATTACAGTCGAGAGGTTTAGGGCCAGCATTGCCGCCCCAGAGAGAGGAAGGGAGCAGCAGAATAACATCGCGTGCACAAAGACGCCGTGGTAACAGTAGTTGTATACGGAGGCGATGTCGTTAAGAGATGTGAGCGCGGTAAACCTTGAACCTTAGACCCTGAACCTCACACCCCGAACTCAAAAACACCCTAAACCATAAACCCTGAACCTTACACCCTGAACTCTAAAACAACCCAATGCCAAAACGTTCAAACCTGACCTCCCAAGTTTTGGCAGAATCACGAAATCTAACTCTGCGGCTTCTAAAGGCCTACGGCAGCCGCGAAGTGTGTATTAGGGCATGGGCTTCAGGGGTTCGGGGTTTAGGATTTAGGGTTTAGGGTTTAGGATTTAGGGTTTAGGGGCTGATGGTATAAGTTTGGTGCCCAGTATCACAACAGCTTAGTTTCAGTTTTCAGTACATCAGAAACAGATCCTGGACAACCCCTCATCTGGCACCTTCAGCCTTTGAAAACCTCAAACCCCTCCACAACCCTGGCTACCTTACCCGAGGGCTCGAGTTGTCTGAACACTCAGTTACTAACCATATATATATATATATGTTATGTATCCCAGTGACTCACTATTTAAGTAACTGGAGTTGCAGGGTCAATGACCCGCAACGGTCCTAAACCCCAAACGTTAAACCCTAGTTAAAGCCGAAAGCCTGAACCCAGACCTGTTCGCAGCTTTCAACCTAGACCCCCCAACTACCCTCTAATATACCCTAAATACCCACTATTACGGGCCATACGGGCTCTATTAAAGGGCCCTTGGGGGGTCCTGGAAGGACCCCTTACATTTAGAGAGCGACCCTAAACCCTAAACCCTA